CGGAACCTCGTGAAGTGATCGAATATGTAGTTTTTGAGAACCACATTGCAGTGGTGGATGGAAGGTGGCGGTTGCATGATAAAGTTTATCCTAGATGGGTACCTCCAAAGCAAGGAACCAATCTTACATATGAACTGAGTATGTTATTTTTATAGGTTTTTGTCGCTTCTTGTGATTCTCAATCCTCTAAATATATTTTTTCTACTATGTGTACTTTTTTCTAAAATTTTCAACCTTTGATCTATTAGCTAATGATTTTCGAATTCTCCTAGGCGATGGTGAGCAATCTCGGCCAGAACAGGCATCCAGTCTACCCTTAAGAGTGGAGGAGATGGAGAAGGAAAGACGGAAGAATGAGAGAAGCGGCAAAACAGCTGATGACGCTTAAATTATGTTTATTTAGTCGCAGAGTTAGCAGGTCATATGTAGTTTAGGTTAGATCCCCAGCCTTGTTGAGTTTCTTCCGTTTTGTTTGTAAATTATGTACAGTTGTGGCTTCCACATTTGCATCCTTTTGGAAATTCGATATTAGCAGACGAAATTTTTGAAATAAATGCTTGACATGCTTTGTACATTTTTTTTGGTTTATATCTTGTATATCTACGTACCTGGTGGTCTTATTTTTACGTATTTGATTGTGCACACCTTTTCTTGGTAAATAAGTTTTTTTTCAAAATTCTATTCGTTTCAGGCTAATGTCGACTGGAATCACTATAACGAAGAAAGATGTGCCAAAAGAAAAGGTAATCTATTCAATTGTGTTCTGTTGATTTCTCGCATATTTGTATTGATAACAGTGTAAATTATGTACAGTTGCGGCTTCTAGGTTTGCATACTTTTGAAAAATCATCTAATTATAGACTAGAAAAGCCATCGACGATGAAGAATTTGAAGAGTTCCCCGTACAAGAATGGGCGGAACGAACCGATGATGCTGATGATGAAGAAATGAACGTGTGGGAGGACAACTGGGATGATGAGACTCATGAGAGCGATTTCTCTAAGCAATTGAAGTAGGTGTCTTCTGTCATTGCATTTATAGTACTTAGTCTTGTGGAACGTTCGTCCCTAATAAGATTGACTTCTACTTTTGAAGTGAAGTCCTTCAGAGAAGAGTTGACGAAGAGTGGTCAGATTGTTTCGTGATTGTGATGACTGATTGATCTGTTCATATCTGCTGTGTATAACTTCGTTCTTCACTTTGTGATGAGTCGTTCTTGACTATATAATAAACTTGCCCACTAGTGCATTTTCTTGTTGCTCGTTCGAATTTCTCGGTAACAAGAAAACTTTCAACTAGTGTGCGGATATGAAAGACCATTCACAATTCAGCTTCCTGTTGTAAAACAACAGTAAATGGAAAAATATAGTGCAGCGTATTTATTCTTTGCTTTTTCCTAACGTATACAAGGTAATTTTGCGGATGGTAGAAACCTGCACTATAGTATGTGAGATTTGAAGTGGAGATCAATATTTTAATGGTTCTTCTAATTAGTCACAAATCTCTTACGGCCAACTATGAAGTAAACTTGAGACTAAATATGCGATATCAGAAATAACACCAAATTTCCATATAAATCTACTGATTGGACTGCATGCGTTGAT